CGAAAGACGGAGATGACGACGACCGGATTCCATCCCAAGCGAGATGTCGTGATCCACGCACGTGAAATATTGAAATGGCGGCTCAAATATTCAGACGCTATACGGTGCTCCGGGCTTCTCCATTGTCTTCGGAAGCATCACGGCACACACTCCTCTGACGTTATTCTACGCAGACGTGGCGCGACACATCGCGTGACCTTTTTTGGGGGCTGGCTTGCTGGAAAGTAACGCAGTCAAAACACGGTCTCTTCAAGCCCATCGAGCTCGTTTAAAGTTCATCAAAGTTAATTAGCGCCGTGCGCGTACACACACGCGGGCGGCCGGTCGAGAGCTATTACATGCTCGGCGGAAAAACGTTTCACATTTTGACGCTAAATTGGAGGCTAATCCTGATTAAGTGTCATTTGTGTGTTTCTTATCCTAACATGCGGCCTCTTCCGTTTATTGGATCATTTCAATTAAGTGGCAATTACGCAGCGTGGTGTGACGAAATCTGCAAAATATTTGAAACAGCTCGGATGTACCGCAGTGCAGATTTGCCAAAAAAAAAAAAAAATCACCTCGGTTTTGTACCCATAGTTCCGTGGTTGAATTTTTTTTTTTTTAATGACAAAATAATTTTACAATCATTCAAAATATCTTTAAAATACAGTCGACGCACCCAAAAAAAATCATCCCCATTTTCCCAACGTCCTAATGATGTTGCTTGATTACAACTAACGACAAAATAAGTGCAAAAATATTTCCCAAATATGAAGGCCTCTCTGACTGACACCACATTAAATGAGGGGAGGAGCTTCATTTCATCAAGCCACACCCCTGAAAAACCAAAGTCGTGTTTTGCCGCCCGTCTTGTGTAAGAATGTGGGTGATTTCATTTTTTTTTTTTTTTTTTTTGGGAGGTGGGTTCATTTCTAAACAAATTTTCACTATTCACGCATGGCAGGGCTCGGCAAAAGACACTCCGGAACGACCCAGGCTAAAGTTAGCTAGTACCTGACATCCAGAGTGTCGGTAACAGTTGAGATGTATCGCTTCAACAATACTCCCCTGACACCAATTACGACTTTCCTACTAGCTAAGGCTTTAGCACCACCTTGTGGCATTTTAAGGTAATGCATGAAGAGCACAAAAATACAGATTGACCCCATGTTGGTAGCTTTCACGCAGAAGTGCCATAAGGGAGTGGCAAAGCATCTAATTTACCCAGCCTCCTTCCAGCGAAAAATCAAACATCAGAGGCTGTCGAACGTTAATCAGAAGCGCATCCTTCTCCTCCTCCTCGGATGCGAGGCGGACCAGCGCACGTGACGGCACAACATGCCGCTGCTTTCATCCGCCATTTAGCAGAACAAAGTTTTGCTGTACACAGGCGGGGCTGCCGGCGGCAGGCGGCTCTCGGCGGGCGAATTAGCAATGTGGAATTAACCCAAATGCTAGCGTGGCTCTGCTGAACCTCGCATGGGGTTTCCATCGAGGGCTCCAGCGCCGTCAGTTTGGACGATGATGTGTCTTGTGTGCGTAGCGGAGGTAGCGCTAACTTAGGGTGAACAACCGTCAAGTTTCAAGCGGGGTCTGGTCAATAGAGGGCGCTAGCGCGAGGACCCACCGTGCACAGTGGTCACCACATTATAGATTTGAAACAAGCGCCATCAGAAGATTGATCGTGAAATAAAAACATTTCAAAATATCAACGACAAAAGCGTAGAGCTAATGATGAGTCAAGTTGTGTGGCTTTTGTCTTTTGTGTCCTCAACGTGCTCGAAAGGACCAAGGTCGGGCGCAACATTCCGGTGCCCAAGCTCACGTGACTGTCGCAGCATGTGACTGTCCACCTTTTTAGGGAAGTCTCAAATCTTGTGACATTCAAATTTCGAGCAAGTCCCAAAGTCACTGTTTGCAAAAAATAAAATTAAATTAAAAAAAATCAAGCGAGTCAAACTCATTCCTTGGAATGACTTTTGAATGAATCAAGTTACTTCCAAGATGGTTGATGGTTTCGTCTCAAAGCCATAATGGCTTTTGAGTAGCATCGTTTGTCGCCAACGACAATCAATCCGCGCTAAACAATACGCGCGCCGTCAAGCAAAGCTTTATTCCGGCAAGAAGGCCAATTCCAACCCTTTGAGTCGTAACTTGTCACTCGCGTTCTAAACGCAGCCGAGCCCTTGCTCCTCGCGCCTCCGATTATGCGGCGTAATCTCACGGTGCGGAGGACAGGGAAGTGTTAGCGGGGGCGGGGGAAGATTTTTTGCGAGCGTTCGGGTGAGACGAGCTGGTGAGAAGACACCTCTCCGGGTTCGCCGAGCTTTCAGCAATCTGACATGTTTGGTGTGCTCGTGCGTGTCTGTGTCGGATCAATGTGTAACGGTGTTGGAAAACGTGTCCGGCCATACTTGCGAATTTTTTTTTTTTTCACGTCAAAAATGTCAGTGGTAGTGTGGAGGTCTTCTACTAATCCACTGGGTATGATGTTATCTTATTCGAAAATTGTTTCATGGAGTTGTTGTGAATCACATTTGTTGTATTCAAAGATTTGATTTCATGTGAATTACACTTAGCCTTCTTCATTTATTTGATAAAAATCAGTGCCAAACAAATCAATTCGGAATACCATTTCAAAGTCGTCATTAATCGTGATTTTGGAAGTAAAATGAACTGACAACTGGAAGCTTGCGTTTTTTGTTTTGCAATTGGAGAACTGTGCAAGTGAGTCTTCTTTTCCTTTTCTGCAAAGTGATTTTATATGATAGTCGCCCAGTTCCTGTCAGCTGTTGGGAATAATTTTCAAAAGTGTGTTTTCATATTTGTAGGGTTAAAAAAAAAATACAGGTAATGCTGGGTTTGTGTGTGGAGTTTGCATGTTCTCCCCGGGCCTGCGTGGCTTTTCTCCGGGTACTCCGGTTTCCTCCCACATTCCAAAAACATGCATTGAGGGCTGAATGAACACTCGAAATAGTCCTTAGGTGTGAGTGTGAGCGTGGATGTTTGTCTCTGTGTGGCCTACGATTGGCTGGCAACCGGTTCAGGGTGCCCCCGTCTACTGCCCGAAGACAGCTGGGATGGGCTCCAGCAACCCCCGCGACCCTTGTGAGCATTAAGTGGATCGGAATATGGATGGATGGTTGGATATACAGTAGTCTCTCCTGCGTGTTTTCACTTATTGCGGGTGCGTCCACTGCACTATTCAAGTCACTTTAGCAGAAAGATCAGAGGCGGATGGAAAAAAAGAGAAAAGCAGAAGAGGGTTGGAGAAATAAAAATGAAGCTGCCTTACAAAGATGAAGAATGCGCACCGGCCCACGATAAAGATGCCCTCTGAAGTGGGTGCAAAAAGTCAAAGAGGGAAGAAAAACAAACGCCGGCAAAGTGGCTCACACCAACTTGAAAGGCCGCAGAAGAATCCAGAAGAGCTTGACCGCGCCAACGCAGCGGGGCCGCAAACTTACAAACAGAGCTTGCCGTTTCATTTCAAGGCCTCGACGGGCTGCGGGATCGCAAAGTCAACTTCTGATCTTGTTTTCGATCAGTTTGCGTGGGGGAAGGGGGAGGGGCTTGTCGCGCTTTGTGGCCCTGCTGAGGGTGCCCGCGTCAGCCTGCAAGAACACCACAGAAATCTGTGCTAGCACCCCCGCAGTTCTCACATCAGCCTTGATCCCAGCGTCTGTGTATGTGTGTGTGTGCATGTGTGTGTGTGTGTGTGTGTGTGTGTGTGTTAAGACCCTTCCACCTGATGGCCTAACATAAATGTGGGGGATGGGGCGGAGCAAAAAGTGGTGTGCTGTCATGGTTTGGGCTTTCCAACACAAGCGAGTACGAAAAAGGGGGGTGGTGGGGGGAGAAACAAGTAACATGGGCGGGGTGGGGAGGGGGATGTACACGACACGATAGGACGAGATTGGGGGGGAACACTCCCGAATTCCCATCGCCTTAGTGCAGCCCTGAATAAATAGCGGTGAAATGAATGAACCGAAACGAACGATGGCGAAGTTCCCGAACACACGAATGAATAGAAGACACGAACAAACTGGATGGATGGATGACGGCCATGGCGAGGAACGGATTTCGCTGCGCTCATCGACAGGCAGTGGTACTGAGGACACACCAGGGATTGAGGCTGACAAACACGATACCACAACACTCACGACATAGCCAGCACCATTTACTGACTACAAACACAACACAGAACCCCCCCCCCCCCTGAAAAACAACTTTTAAAATAGTGGTGGGTAATGTTTGCAGGTGGCATCACACCTGAAACTCGTTGCTAATTGGGGTCACTCTCCGCCTGCACTGATTTGTTGTGAACAAGGGCCACCAATCAGCAAAGGGCACGAGAGAGCGACCGCACACATGCAAAATTAACCCCAACGCAAACAACCCCCCCTAAAAAAAAAATAAATAAATTCAAACTAAAAAAATAAACGGCGACTAAATATCGTGGACCGTAACTGTGTGTGCGTGTGTGTGTGTGTGTGTGTGTGTGTGTGTGTGTGTGTGTGTGTGTGTGTGGGCGGGCGAGTGGATCAACATCGTGTGCATTGCTTCAAACCAATGTAATGTGTGTGCATGTTGAGGAAAATGGGCAGAAAATTCAAAGGCTTAAAGCAGTGGCGGATCTAGGGGGGGGCAGTGCCCCCCCTCCCCCCACCCCACAGAGTAGATACTAAAATTTGAGCTACAAATTCATACTTTGCTATCAGAGTATTCCTCTTAGTCTAAAATCATCTTATGCGAGTAGTCCATCAAAAATGTGACGGATTCGCTTCTGTAAAGTGTATGTGGCACATTGCACCTTCGTGTATGCGCAGAGTCCTCGTGCTGCTGTCGAGAACAGCACAGAATGTGTGTCTGCCGCACTTCAAGACAAGACAAGCATCACACACACACACACACACACACACACACACACACACACACGCACACACACACACACACACACACACACACACACACACCTACACACACGCAGAGCGGCTCACCGCCGGCGGCCGACTCACCGATGACGAGGGTGGTGATCTGGTCCTTGGCGGCGCCGTGCTTGTTCTTGACCTCGCAGATGAAGGTGGTGTTGACGGCGTCGTCCACCTTCCTTACCGTCAGCTTGTTGCCGTCCACCAGCACCGAGTCTGGCAGCGGGCCCGACGCCCTGGAGGAGGAGGAGGAGGACGGGATGAGATGGATGAAGCCAGTTAGTTTTGACTGTCAAAGTAAACGTCAAACAAAGAGAATGTAACTCAACACAATGTAACTTTGTCTGACGAAATGCAGCTAGCTTAATGCTAACATGCAATGCTCAAACCATGGACGGGCTAATGAAACTAGCATGAATTATACCATTTGAAGCAAAAGGACATTTTGAGGAACATTTTAAAGGAGTAAATGAGCGGCCATCTTACGCGGTCCAGGTGACGGTGGTGGGTTGTGGATTGCCGTCAGCCGTGCAGACCAGCGTGGCGTCCGAGCGGCCCATGTACCAGTTGTGGTCGTAGCCCTCAATGGAGACGGAGGGGGGGTCTGCGAAGGGAGAGTCAGAGGACATTTTGAGGTCAATTTTTTTTTTTTTGGGCAATGTAACGTCAACCAACTTTAACTTTACAATCAAATCCTTTTTGCTGAATCAACATCATTGAAAGTGGTCATTGTTAATTGGTCCCCCAAAACTTTGGTCTTTGGTCAACTATTTATGTCAGCATGATACAGTGACAGGCAGAACAATTCAATGCTCGAAGATTGAACAATTGACCGATTTTTTGGGTGATTGGGAGTGCGCCGAGAGATTTTCTCCAAATTTCAGTTTCATTTTTTTTAGAACACCGTTCCGAGAATATACGATGTTCCTCGCGCATAAGACGCATCCTCGGCTGTTAACTGGCTGAAGAGAGACAACGTGCGACATCTTCGCGGCGAGTTGCTGCCGTTTCGTCGACGCCACCAGCGACGACTCAGAACCTGTTTTAATCCCTTGTAAATTAAAAAAGGACAGTAAAAGGATTAAATGTACGTGTGTGGGGCCATCTTATTCCCTTCTGCTAATCTTCAAAGCTAGCCTTAAAGGCATATTATTTATGTATTAGATGACATTTCAAAGTTATTATTATTATTATTATTATTACTGACATTATTGTTCCTCTTCTGAGTCAACATGTCTGTGTGTGTTACTTACACTCCACCGAGAGCTTGAGTTGGTGCGTCCAGGTCTTGTCCTGGGTGCGCTGGTCCACCATGCACGTCACCTCCCTGCCGTCGTCGGCGGGCGTGGGCACCAGCCGGTACTCGCTGCGCACCGTGACGGTGCCGTCGGGCCCGTTGGTGCTGCTGGTGGTGTGGTTGCCGCCCACCGACGCCAGCCACTTGATGGTCGCCGCCGGCTTGGCGTCGGCCGCCTGGCACTGCGCCACCACCGTCGCCTTGGTGCCCGCCTGCACCGTCACCACGTTGGCGGAGTTTTTGGGTTTGGCTACAGAGGAGCAGATATCACGAGGAAATGGAATATCAGCCTCGGTCAACAACAATAATATTCGTCGTTCTATGCAGTGGATAAGGAATATATGCATGTATTGTTTTATTGTCTGTCCACATGCGCTGCTCCGTTTGTTTTCAAATCTCCATTGTTAAAGGGCGGTACCACCACTGTTGCCGTTCGTTCGCCTGTCCTATTACAATCTGCATTTTTTTTTTTTTTTTAGCATGAAGCTAAATGGACTGTCGTATGTGGTTGCTTTAAATACACAAGATGCGATTCCCAGCTCAATGTTTTGTTTGGCAGCAAACTTCAACTGGGAAAAGCAATAAACTGCTTGTTCACTCGCCACCAGAATACCGCTGGTGGTGAAGTTAGCTGAGCTGCCAACAAACAGCAAGTCAGGTCTAAAAGAAGCTTAAAAGAAAAAAAAAATCAATTTATCAGACAGCTCTCGTTCAAAAGTGCGAAAAGAGGCCAACAATGTGACCCCTCCCACGCGCCGATCCCACGGCGGTCTAAATGGCGATTCAAAGAGGCGGAAGCCGAGTTTCACTGCATTGTTTGCATCTCAATGTAAATGCGGGGAAAAAAAAGGTCTAAGTGGGTTTTATCTGAGTGACATTTTGGACATCAAGTGATGACTTCAGACATCGGGGAAAGGGCTGAAGATGAGCAGATGCCACCACAATGTGCGGTCCTCTAAAAGAGCTGTCAATCATCTGGCAAATGTCACGCTATTTGGTTTGGCCACAAGATGCATCGCCCTGCATTGCAACATTTCATTTATTCAATCCGCAGCTCCCCCGGAATGACTTTCCAGCCTTTCTTTGTGTGCTTCAGATTATGCCTGAAAAGTTTCTGACGATTCTCGAGCGTCTGGCGTGTTGTGGCGACCGCAATATCAGCGTGTCCCTGGTCAAGGCCAGCCTCCACCATCTATGCCGCTGTCAAAACTTAAAATGGGACTCTCATGCCTTATTCGTTCTGCCAACCGTGCTGGATGATTTGAAATTCCAGACACACATAAAGCTCATTTTTACTTAGCGACAGAAAGCTAGCAAACAGATTGCGCTAGGTGTGATTTTGGGACATTTTGTCATCATGGGCGCTTCGACAAATGTTTGGAATGTATAACTAGCTAGTAATGGCTCGTTAGCAACAAAAAGTTAGCTAGTGGCTAATTTCCAGTTTGTTCAAGAATGCTGTCTGGTAGATTTTAGCTAACAATTTTATTTTGTACATTTTCTCAAATATGAACTGATGTGTACATTGTTTACATTGGCTAAACTTTAGCGAGCTAGTTAGTTACTGATTGTTAGCAAATTGTTCAAGCTGACTGTCAATTTTGGTCACTCGATTTTGGCGCGGCAGGAGTAACTCCATGCCACCGCCTGGTTTTGAAAGAAATATATTCTAAGTTCAAAGAGAAAGAGAGAAATAGGCAAAAGGATGTATAAAAAAAAATAAGATTTCAGACAAATGCTAATGCTGCCTGGTGTTAGATCTTCAAATGAGTACAAAGACAATTCTTTGCGCTTTGTCTTTTGACTCTATGTCGGGATGGGGATGTGAAGAATAGCAGCAGAGCATTGTCCCAAAACACAGAAGACGTCCGTAATTTGAAGGAGCCTTTGAACCAGACGTCATCATTCTTTAAACGCAACCTCTCAAGCACGCAAGCGACAGCGCGTCTGCTTTGTGACGCCACATCCCATCCGCACAGCTTCCGCTCCCCACATCCGTCTGAGGAATTAGATGGCGCGGATACCCCAACTGCCCGACATCCATTGCGCACGGATCAAAGAGCTAAATGTCAGAGAGCAGCCCGGAGATGGGGGAAAAAAAACGTGTCGCTGGTGGGTTATAAAACAGGCCATTTGCATAAGATGTGCTCACAATTCATTCATTAGAGCAGCAATCCGGAACTTTTTTTTTTTTAATGCCACGAACTGGTTTCACTTGAATGACACAACGGTCAAGCTCAAATCACCCATTTACTTATATGCCAAAGAGGCCTAATCTAACAGTAGCATTGTCCTAATGATACCAATACTGAAATGATAACACGGCAAAGAAAAAAAATGTGGAATCATAAATGAAAAAAAAACTGGGGGCTCCTTTGGCACTTTGTATTCTATGTTAGTGTGAAGTCAGCGGACTTTTGAAATTCAGGATTGGTTGAACATTTTGGTGCTTCAATATCCTGTACTGGTGCCTAAGCACCACCTGTTGGCGAAAAACCTGGATTTGTAATCTGACTGTTGATCTTGTTTCTCAAATGCAGCGTTCTTAGTTTTGAGAGCTGTTGCGTCTTATCCATTTGACCTTCCAAGCTTTCCTTAGAAGCTCTCCAAAGACTTTTTTTTTTTTTTTTTTACTGCCTGCTTGTGTGCTTACTTTATTACGACCGAATCATGTGAGCAAGATGAGCGCTTTGACATTTGCTCAGAGGCACAGACGGATGTACTTCATCTTCAATAAACTTCTGTCAGACAGATTATGAAGGTCGATATCATATATATATGTTTTTGTTTAGCCTCTCTGTGCGCTCCACTACCAGATGGTGCCACATGATAACTGACAAATGTATGAAGTGCTGCCTCTGCCGGGGAAAATGCTTTTATTTTCTTAACAGGTTCAAGCTTTTTTTTTCTCCCCCCCCGCCGACCCCACACTCATTTAGTTGGGGGACAAAACGCATCATCTGCAGCTGCTGGATAAATCCTGGCAAAGATCAAGACGCTCTGTTAAATTTGAACCGAATACCTTTCGTCTTTGGCAGGTCGCCAGTTAGCACCGCAAAGACGCAAGCACGCGCGCGGCTGCTGGGCGACATCTGTCGCCTTCGCGCTTTTTCTAATTAAAGCAACCGACTCGCATCGGCGCTTCCACTTGACCCACATGCACGTAATTCGGCAGGCGGCAACACCGGCGGATGTCGTTATTAGCGTTGGGTCCACTTCAGGACCCTCTGGGCGCGTTCACGGACGCTTAAGCTTGACGACAAACACAGAGGAAGACGTTAGTTGACTTTTTTTAATGATTGATTAATCAATCCACAAGGGGATGAGTTCGTCACTCGAGCTTAAATGTTATTCTTTAGAAACGTTTGGGCAAAAATTGACATTTCTTTTCTGTCTGCACGTGCTCTGACATCGAACCTGATCACATGATCAGCTGTCCCCCGTAGTGGCCGCTGTCCCCGAAAGGGTTCAATAGATATGCCACAATCTTTGAAATGATTTTTAAATCGTTGCAGATCCTTTTTCAAAATTGTTCAGCCCACACACACACACACACACACACACACACACACACACACGCTATATCACAGCAGCTTGTAGGTGGCGGCAGAACAAGTCATTTTGAGCCACTAACATATTTAACCTTTATCAAGCAAGCGCAGCCCCTGCAATTTGTCCATGTTGTGGCTTAATTCACAGCGCAGCTGTGTGCGGCCTGAATACAAATTTAACGGCAACCGTCTTTTTTGGCGCCCAACATCGGCGTGGATTTATTCACCGATCAAGCGATGCGTTCTTCCGCTGGTGAAAAATGTCGGGGTGGGAGGTGGGGGTGGGGGTGGTATTTGTTTGTTGCGCGCTTCCCTTGTCGCGGCGGAGATAAACGTCTGTTTGCTCCCTGGGCCGCTAATAAAACATAAATATTGGAGGAGATGGAAGAAAGAGTTGGAAGAGTTGGAAGAGGCGTCAGTCGGTCAAATAATGACAATCCGTAATTGGCTGCGGGAAACGTTGACAAAATGCATTCATTTGTCTGATTGAAACTCATTTTGGTTTGATTTAAGACGCGAGGGGCTCCGCTAAGTGGATGCCACAAGACCAGAAGCAGCCTAAAAAAAAAAAAAATCAAATAAAAACAAAAACACCCACACACAAAAGATTGTTATTTTAACATTTGCGCACGCTAATGTGAAATCATAGCCAAGGTACTTTGGAGGCTTCGACAGACTTTTGAGCGGCTTTTGTTTTGCGTCTCATCAACTGTGACTCGCCAAGGTCGTTAGCATAGCGGCGGTGTTTTGTTCTCGGAAGTAACATCAAGTTTGAGACGGCGATGAACAGACGCGACCTGTCATTTATTTGAAATGCTTCATTATGTACACTGGTAAAAATGGGATACGAGAGCTGGATGCAAAATTCTGCCTTGACAAAGGAAATGTATTTCGGTCTTGAAGTCATAATAAACTAATGCAACGCAACACATAAGACATAACGTTGCAATGTGCAACCAGAAAGTTGATTCCTGAGTCAACGAGGTCGAATATAACAGCCATGTGAAAAATTCGGTCTTGACAAAGAAAACAATTACGTTTGTCTCTCAAGGGCGCCTGGAAAGGGCTGTATGCAATTTTTTTTTTTTTTTTTGCCTTGGCAAAGACCAACATATTTTTTTATCAGGTTTGCAGGATGTGAATTTGGTGGCAATCGGACAAAAAAAAAAAAAACAACAAAACGGGTTTGTTTTTCGGAATGTACCTGGAAATATCTACAATAACCCGAAAATGGCCGCCTCGAACCAAAATGGTGGACTTTCCAGGCTTGGTTTCTTGCCTTTGTCTGCTCTGGTCGCCGGCCCCGTGGATGTAACAAATGTTGTGGGTGACCTAAATACCTCAATGCAGATTTTTTTTTCCTTTTTTATTTGCACACACCAAAACTCGATAATAAGACTGCGTTGCGCGGCTGTGCCGCTGCATCCAATAAGCGCTAATCGGATTGTTTGCCAGGATTATCTGTTCGGCGTGAATAAAACGTGTTATGATTGCCGGCGCCTTTCCATTCAACGCGGCAAAATGCCATCTTGAGCCGACTCTTCTATATCGAAATCTATTACTCATCCAATAAGGTAAAATGTAAAAATTGCTGCTTTCATCTAAAATGACAGACTTGTTGTATCGTTTCTCGCATGGGTTCTTGAGTAATTTTGTGCGTTTATTCACGATAGATAGAGCGACTAAACTTCATGTTGCGAAAGGGAAAACGGCTTCGGGGGCTGGATTAAAAAAAAAAAAGTTTCTCTTTGAAGTAGACTGGATATAAAACCCAAAATGGCTGACTTTCGGTGTCTTTTCGGGGCATGGCTTCTTGAGATTTTTTGGTGGGTCCCCTCATGAGAGACATGTCTACCAAAATACAAGTTGCAAAGCGTTTTTGTGGCGAGTCATTAAATTTCACTGCCATCATATAAAATAAGTCGAAAACGGCTGCCTCAAAATCAAAATGCAGACGGACTTTTCAAGCATGGGTTTTTGAGATGTTTTGCGGGTCTACTCGTGCTCAAGTATGTGCTTTAATTTTCAATCAGGACAAAATCTTGGACAAAAAAAAAAAAAGGCTACTGGTACTTCAAAATTTTTTTTTTCAGATTTTCTGTCTTTTGATGCATGGTTTCTTACAACTTTTTTGTGGGTCTACTCATGACAGACCCGTCTACGAAATTTCACATTACTAAGTGAAACTGTCTTCTCCTGCTGAATTTTTCAAAAGAACTGAGCCGGTTTCAGGCCTTGCCACTGCTTTTCTCTCAGCCAGCACACAAACATGACCCGATACATGAAAGGCTGATTCAACAAGCGGAATGAAGTGAAACTTTGTTGACGATGGCGTTTGAAAAGCCCACACGTCCTTTTCTTTTCATCCACACTGCGCCTCCACATTCGGTTTCTCTTCACAGCAGAAGCTTTCCCCCGACATACCTGCTCTGATTGTGACAATTTGCGCAACAAAGGCGAGACAAGGAGCGCTTCATTTACGCGCTCCAGTAAACACAAATATGTCACAAATGGAGCGCACGTGAAAAGATGGCAAAGTAAAATTCGGCAAAACGTGGCGGTCGAATTCAAAGTGCGGCCCCCGCTCGCAAGGTTTCCCCGAACCCGCCATTACCACGGGAGCGCTTAATGCGCCGGCTCTTTATCGTACGAGCGCAGACGCCGCTCGCCCCGCGACTGGATTTTTCCCTGCCGTCGACCTCGCCGCGCTCGGCTGCTCTGCAAATGGCCGCTCATGTGGGAGGATGAAAAACACCAGCTGTCTCCGATTACACACAGCGGGTGTCTCCCCCCCCCACCCCCAGCCCGCCGCTAGCGGCGTCGCAAACATCTTCTTGCTTTTAAGACGACGAGGCGCTCTCTGCGGTGATGCATCAACATCCCTGAGGACTACATGCTAACAGGTGCACCTTCACCACTTGAGCATCTCGTCAACAGTTGTATTCGAAGCACTTGTTTGTTTTTTTTTTTTATTTTATTTTAATTTCAAAGCGATATACAGCTAGCCCAGTTTGCATCCATCTAATTTAGTCATTGCACCTTGACTGGGATTTACAAAAATAAAATCAAAAGTATTAACGGCAGTCGGTTGTTATAATATTGTGGACAAAAATAATGCAAATGATTAAAAAAAAAAAAAAACACTAATGGAAAAAAAATAGAAAAAAAAATTATGAGTTGGCTACGCATCTCCTATGCGGGAGCTTAATTTTTGCAATAAATTCATCACGTTTGCATGAATAAACTCTTTGCCCTTTAACTGAGCTTGAGAAAACAACATTTTCATGCAATTTCCCAGGGCGCTACAATTTTTAGCTGATAAATAAATGAATAAAAAGAGCCGCTTCAAAATCCCCAAACTGCTTTTACGTGGCAAATCACAGCGCTCTAATTGCAACATGGCCATTTTTAATGAACGTGGTCATGTTTCACCAAGCATCGTTTACATGTTTAAAATTTAACAGCAATATGATGGAATTTCTTGAAGTCCCGCTCTTTCCTCATTCGGCATCGAACCGGCAAAAGCCTCCGAGGGAATCGGCTTCAAATTGCTCGGTTGTGGGCTTCGGGCACCACGGGGCGCTCTTGGGCGACGAGTGCTGATAAGCAGACGACTCGGGAGGCGCCCATCAAGGCTGATGGAGTGCAGCAGCTCTTGGAGGCAGGGGAGGGGAAGAAAAGTGCAAGAAAAATTGAGCACTCACCCAACATGACGAGAACGGTGGTGCCCTGCTCGTTGCCCGACGGGTAGGTGGCGTACTCGCAGGTGAAGCGGCCGGCGTCGGACATGCGCAGGTCGGAGATGCGGATGGATGGGTTCTCCAGGTTGTTGTGCAGGAAGACCACGCGGTCCTTGAAGGACAAGTTGGGGAAACTCTGGCCGTAGAAGGGATGGTACACGGCGATGTTGTCTCGCTGGCCTTCAGTGGGCTCCCAGATCCACGACACCTGAACACAAGTCACACCGGGGAAGGGCTTATCATTTTGGGATAAGGCAATGCATCGAGAGCTGCCGGCCTTTTCTGCCGAGAGTGCAACGGACTCGCAGAATTATTTTAATGGGCACTTTGCCGCATGTAATTTGCACCGGCGTTGAACTTTAAAAGGTTCCACATAGTGATCTGTTATTCATATTTTAAACTGTATTGTCTCGCTCATTGAACCCCCTTGCAATAATCTCCCCAGCTGTGGCAAAACATCACCGTCAATTACAGCGGCATGAAGTCAAAGGTTTCAATTATTGCGCAACTCACTCTCGAGCCGTTGAGTCGAGCTGGCCGATGGATAGATTTTTATCAATTAATTGGAGTTCATCAGTCAGGATGAATTATTTCTTTGTCGGTATTTTTCCAGCGGTGTACGAACAAGAGATGGCTGGGAACAAAAATCGACAAATGCACAATAAGTTTTGTTTATCCAAGTCAGGAAATTTCAATGTAAATTGGGATGCATGCTATTTTTTTTTTTTCGTGTTAATGCATTTTTGATACCTCAAAAAAAAAAAAGAAAATCAAATCACATCCCTACTATACATATACATATAAAACATTTTTTAAGGCTATATTGCCCATTTTACCGATCATCAGCGGCTTCACATGGAGACGACACCTCCAATTAGTCCACCGCACAGAAGCGGCTGCCAATGGCACATGCTTCTGCGTGGACAAATTGAATATTGATCGCAAGAGGCGGGCAGGCGAGCATCGCATGTGGATCGAGCAAATGCTTTTCTCGTTTGCTTCTTCAATCGTCTTGTGGACCTCGCGAGATTATTTGGCGGAATGCCCAAACAAACACTGATGAGCCACCGTGTTTGCGTTTGAGCCAAAGTGCCGAGCGGAGGTGGAAGCTGAAAGAATTGCCCAATTGACGGACAATTAAACTTCTGGGACGACTGAAGACTCTTTTGACATTCAGTCGTCATCGAAAATGTCTTTTTTTTTTTGGTCACTACCTCCAGAGATGTTTTGCTAGCACAAACCGACCGTCAGCATGCTCCAATAATCTCGGAATACATTGTATGTTTCCCCACTCCTTTAAAAGTTTGCGTATTAGTGGTGGAGATGAGCAAAATGTTTCCAGAGCTGTTCGGAGATTGTGCTGGTTTACACTCGCTCACTGTCCTTGTGCGCACGTAAAAGACAATTCTGCTTGACTCCTAGTTTCTCTTGTGTTTTAAAGTTTGTCTGAAGGCTCTGATTGCCCAATAGAACTGACAGATAAAGACTGACCTGGGTGAGTTTGGTTTTGCCTCCCCCGTCGATGAACTGACAGCGCAGGTCCACCGACTCGTTTGGGTATGCCTCCAACTCCTCCTCCACGCGCACCTTCTGAGCGCCGACGCCTGGAGACCAAAACAGACGGAAAAACAGTATGAGGGGGGGGTGCCCTAAAATCTACATACAAAGGGGCACGTTCAGAAAAGGGATTTTTCATGAATGACTTCTCCACAAATAGTTGACTGCTTCCCCAAAACCAAGAGTGAAGTTCAAAAATTAAAGTCGATCTTTGAGGAATTGAATATTTTTCCGATTACCCGTTGTTGAATCACATCATGTGGAAAGTGTATAATTGGGTGGATAGGCGATGAAGTGGTGCCTCCTTCAGGGAAAATATATAAGCCATGCTGGCTCTGCGTCACAGTTTACAACTCTTAGTTTCCATATGTGGGCCATCCTAAGTCGTCAGGGTCATGAAAGCCTATTCGCCATTGGCCAGCCGAGTGAGTGGTGGCCTGCTTCACAATCATGAGACAGGAAAAGCGCCTGACAGACATGTTCCGAAGGCACCCGGAAACTCATTGAAATTGCGCAAAAAAAGCCATAATTGCGATCCTTGAAATGTCTGGATGGGTGTTGATTCCCTTGATCGTTAAACAGCGTCCTTGCAGAGTCTTTTCAACCGCTTCCAGCCAGTGAAGACGAATTTCTGGCTGATTCACAAAAACAAGAAGAAGGTGCGCGGGAGCGAGGTGGAGTAGCATTGGCTACCTGCTTGTTAGACCCGAGTGTTTGTGAACAAAAAGCCTGTTAAATGTGCGAGCGGAATAATACGGAACGCTGAATGAGCTTTAAAAAAAAAAAACCTTATATAT